AGATTCGCGACCGGCAGATCAATGTGCTACTTCTTTTCTCTCCAATACGGTAGGAAGTTAAATGAAATGCAATGTGGAGGATGTTAACTGTGACAAGATGATTGACAGGCCAGTTTACAGTGACAGGATGCGTGTATCTATGCGACAGAGCATCAGTTAAAGACGCAGATGTGTGACGTGTTAGTATGTCCCAAAGCTTGCCTACTCTTCTACTACACACTCAAAAGTGTGTACTTTTCTTCACCGAAAGAGTACATACTTTAAGGGCGTAGTATAAGTAGGCACATTGAGATGCAGCATGTTTTAGGCTTACAATCAAGATTAGGTGCTTCTACACCCTTGTTAATCAGCTATCATTTCACACTGTTTTTAGGAATAAATTATGGGTAGTGTTAGGTTTAGGGGTAGTGATCGGGTTAAGTCTATATTTTTGGACAGTTATGTTGATCCAGGATCAACAAAAGATGTTGATCCAGGAACATGTCTTACTTGGCAAAATCACGGCGACCTGACGTAGAAATAGCTAATGATGTATGACGCGCAGAACCAGCGGTTCTTCCTTTTGAATAAAGTGTTGTATAAATACGTGTCCAGTCATTATAAAACTCTCCTTTCACTCAGCAACTGTGAAGTGGAGCAGGACAACCTCCCACCAGTCCTTGTTTTGGATTCTCATCCACAGGCAACCCGTTTTGGGCGCGGGGAGGGGCATTTGTACTGCGTGATAAATATGAGCAACACGGCACAGCGGTTTATATGTATATTTATCCATAAATGGATAAATATTAATTCTGCTGTTAAAAACAAATAAAGAAACCGTGTAGGAGAGTGGTTATTATGTGCAAACAGTGAGAAACTCTATATTTGTGCAGTGTGTGCATGTGAAAAAAAATCTATTCCGATTTGAAGCTTGTGACATATACACGCGCACATCAACCCGATCACTTTATGTAGCGTTCATGTAAACACTACAATCAGATTCATCAGTCGGAATGAATTCAGTCTGATTGAACCAAAAATTGTGCCTGTAAACGTAGTGACTTGATAAGAGAGGGAGTCTATGCTGAGCCCCAGATATTCTGTTTGTTTAGAGGGCTCCAAACGGCTCTTTTTCATATTGATCCTGAACCCCAAGCTGCTGAGATGATTTAACACCATCCCGGCACCCCTCTGATCTCCCGTTTGTTTAAAAGAGTTTCTATTTTGGCCATCAGGACACGAGCCGATTCTCCCTCAGCCATTGACATAACCCACGGGTGAACCGCACATGCACGCCAAATGGCTATTCGGGCAAAGATGGTGCGTTCCAAACGGGATATATCACCCTCCGAAGGGCCCTTTGGAGTGAAAACAATCATGGCCGCCATATTGAAGGGTCGTTCCAAACCGAAGTGCTCAAAACTGGCCACTCCAAAGGGCCCTTCGGAATGAAGTATTTCGAAGGGTACAACTGATGGACACTTTGGGCTCCCATGATCCTTTGCGCAGATATTTTGCATGATGATGGCGCCTCCGTGTGGGCACGTGATGATGGTCTTGAAGGGCACTTCAAGAAACAGTTGTTTGGTCCCCTACAGGAGTTGTCTTCCTCCTCTTCGTCGTCCATGTCCAACTCGAGGAGATCAGAGTTAGCATCCCCCTCTGCGTCCTCGTTCCCTGGATCACCCTCCTCCTGCATGAGTAGGCCCTCAAACAGCAGAGGCATATCCGGGGATTCGGCTTCCATCATATCCGCCCAGCTCGTATTGGCTCGCATCAGATGGTCAGTCGCCGCAGACTGTGTGGCCGCTCCAGACAGACAAGTTAGCCACCACCACTCTCAGCCTCCTTTCTAAGATTTTCACCGACAATGACGCACAGTGAGCGCATGTTTGTGATCCACCAGTGACGTTTGAGCGTGCTTCGGACCCATACACATGATGCACATGGGGTGAGGGTCCCTGCCCGAGATGGTAGCTCCACATGAGGATAGACACGGGTGGGATGCAACCTCCCTGGTCTTCAACTTTTGGCGGGGGTGATGGCCGTCGACATAATGGCTGAGAAGTGATGCAAACCTCAGACTCATCACAACACATTAGCCTGCTGGTCTAAGTTAATGAAATCTTCTGAAGGCTCGCCTTGACGCGTTAAACCTCTAGTTGACTTAACGTCACTTACCGCAATAATTTAATAAGCAGTAGGCCAATTAGAATAGCTCGTCTTGACGCGGACAGTATTCTAATTGTTAGGATATCACTCAACACAATTACCATCTAACTAACCTCGCATTCGGTGACGGAGTCCAATGATGGCTCGTCTGTTGAACAGTTTAGCGAAATCAGCAAAGTCAGGATGTGCTGAGAGAGCTAGCTGCAGTCTCCCACGGGAAGAAAGCGCGAATGAGTTTGGCAGGGGTCGACCTGACTGATATAGGTGGGGCGGAGCCTGGTCACATGTCGACCTGTCTGTCAAAGACAGACGTGTCATAGGAGCTTCCGCAGTTGGTCACGGCCAAAGCGATTTCCCATAGTGAAACACCGAGAGAAGTTAGAAAAAGAACTGTTGTGGAGTCAGCAGGCAAGTTTAACATCCTCCTGCAGGTTAGCAACATGCTCACCGTCTTCATACTAAAGCATTAAATTACACACCACCTGTGGCTATTATGAAACAGGAGAAGCAAATAGCACAGCAGAGACATGTTTACATGTCTGAGCCTGAGTAAAAAAGAACAAAACCCCCAAACTGTCATCCCTACCTCTTCTTGCTGTAATAGATATCATGTGGTAGTAACATAAGGTGATTCTCTTTAGTCTGGATGCTGTAATTGCATTGAGAAATTTGTCAGGATATCTGGATTTTTCTTTCTTTCCAATTGCAATAGAATAACTTGTGATTGTGAATGGGATGCAATTTTAATTTTGCTGTAATTTTGCAGTCTATGTAAATAGAATTTCCATTAATGGTGTTAATATTGTGTAGGTCAAACTGTAGCGAAGCCAGGATTCACTACATGCAGTTGTGTTTGTCTGTTTCATTGGATTGGAAGAATACATTAATTGAAAGAATTTGTATATTGTCTTTTTTTAATTGTTCATCTTTCATAAAAATGTATTTGATTGATTTGTTGAAGTTTCTTTTAAATTGAGCATCGATAAATTTACAGAAAGTGGAGAACAAAATTACCCACAAATCAGTGCGCGTCTGGCCTTTATGGAGATGGACAAACATACGTGGTACGGCCAGAGATTATCTTACTATAGGGAGATGAGAGGGTCTGTATGACTTACTATTGGAGAAAGTGTAACGGCCAACTTGGATCACGTGTCCCTTAATAACCAATTACATTACAGCCTTGACGTCATTGAAATTCAATTAGAGTTGTGTGACACTCAATTGTCGTTTACGGCTGTGTCCGAAAGAATATAGGCAGCTGACTTGCTGCCTTATCAGGCAATGACTTTGCAGGCAGCGTTTTTACATGGAGGCACCCCGTGAAACTGATTTCGGAGAGGCTTCTGAGGCAGCGTAACGGTTTAATGATCTACAACAAAATAGAACGCATTTTGGTGATAACTAAATTAATATTTAATTACTATAATACTGATTTCTTGCTAGAAATAACATCAAAAGTGCAAAAAGTTAGTCAGAAATATACACACAAACAAACTTACCACCAAACGCAACTTTCAGACGCCAACTTTATTTTTTAGCTCAACCTCACGGAATGGAACGCACAGGATTGTGGGATATCAAAGGCAGCGAAGGATACATCTATGCTGCCTTCAAAATTCTACCAGAAGAAGGTACCTCCGGAGACAGGAAGTGAAGCAGAATTTGGATTAGGACATGCCTTGATGCCTTCCTGCCTTGGAATGCTGCCTCTAGAAGTGCCGTAAACTGAATCCCACCTGTCGCAAAAAGTCAGTGACTTCTCTTATAAAACAGCATTTTTTTCGTGGTAAACTCTAAAAATAGTTCAATCCAAAAGTATTAGTATAAAACATGTTGAAGATTAGCAGATAAAAAAAAACGTGCCAGACCGGAAGCGTTTGCTTTAGCCGTTATGCTTTTCTGGCTAAGGTTACAGGCTTGCCTTCTAGTGGCTTTGGTACGGCTTCTGAGTTTTTTGCGAGCAAAATGTGACAGTTACAATGCAACGATTGCGAGTTACATATAATCAGAAGACACATCCAACAAGGATACATCTATGCTGCCTTCAAAATTCTACCAGAAGAAGGTACCTCCGGAGACAGGAAGTGAAGCAGAATTTGGATTAGGACATGCCTTGATGCCTTCCTGCCTTGGAATGCTGCCTCTAGAAGTGCCGTAAACTGAATCCCACCTGTCGCAAAAAGTCAGTGACTTCTCTTATAAAACAGCATTTTTTTCGTGGTAAACTCTAAAAATAGTTCAATCCAAAAGTATTAGTATAAAACATGTTGAAGATTAGCAGATAAAAAAAAACGTGCCAGACCGGAAGCGTTTGCTTTAGCCGTTATGCTTTTCTGGCTAAGGTTACAGGCTTGCCTTCTAGTGGCTTTGGTACGGCTTCTGAGTTTTTTGCGAGCAAAATGTGACAGTTACAATGCAACGATTGCGAGTTACATATAATCAGAAGACACATCCAACATTACACAGTGTGTCCAAATAAACTAGTTTTGTCAAGTGATCTGAACTTCGAAATAACTTTGGACTTTGCAGTCACTTTAAAGAGCGATTAACAACGCATGCATGGAGCTGGTGAATCGGTTCGCTGATAATTCGGATCTCGAGTTTAAATCACTGACAGTTAAGTCAATAACGGCCATCTGAAAGGAGAATAATCAGTGAATAACTTAACGTTTTTCAAGCAAAACTATCTTATAACTTCAGACAGATTGGAATATGTCGCACTTGTCGAGTGGTGATTTCAGGCTGTATCTCATAAACTGCTCATTGCCACTACATTGAAAATACATTCTTTAAACTTATTTTGTTTCACTGAACGAAAAAAAAATCAAAATGGGTTTGGACTGATATGAAGGGGAGTAAATGAAGAGAATCTTTATTTTTGACTGGGATTGCGCCTGCAGTGCCTCTCCTCCGCCGTTAGAGGGCATCACTATCAGAGCTGCGGGAGCTTCAAGGTAATAACCTGCTTTACACACCGTAAACCACACAGGCTTCGTCACGCACCGGCCTGCAGGGACCCACCGCATCTCGACGAGGGAAAAAAATAAGACGAGAAATCTTATTTTTGCTTTTGACGCGAACCTATTGTTCATCCAGGGACGTTAAGATAATGTTTTTCTCCATGCCGCATCCCTGCTGGAAGAGGATGTCATTATTTTCACGCCGTTGTCTCTGATCAAGGTGAGGAATGGATAATATGCGGCGATTTCAGCGGAGAATAACATGATCACCTGCGTATTTTCCCCTTAAAATGACATTCCGCATCCACCCAAGCCTTTGTTTGGAATAATAATGACCTTATCCTTTCTATATCACCATAATGTTCTTTTATTACAATAATTGCATCCAGGCAGGTCAAATGAACTAACGCGCAAACGCGCTCTTTGTCTGGTTGCGGGCGCGCGCTCAATCAGTCAATCAATCAATCAATCAATCAATCCATCCATCGCCTTATTTGCGTTTCCACGCGCGTGGAATGCGTCGAGTCTAACGAAGCATCTTCGAGGGGATCAATGGAGCCGTTCCTGCAGATCGCGCCGCACTCTCTGGCCATCGTGCTGTCGCGCGTCGTGGCGGAGGACGCGCCCGGAGTGACGGAGAGCGAGGAGCCGCCGCACCATCACACCGGCTACGAGATATTCGCCGACTTCAAATCACTGAACATGAAATATTTCTGGAATAAGATGGTGGCCGATGCCATAGCCGAGACCTTCTTCCTGGGCTGGATAGACGAGCATGTGTTGCTGATCCAGGGGAAGGAGGATCACCTGGAGGTGTTGAGGGAGGCTTGGATGAGGAGGTCCCTCAAACCACCGCAGGGCTTCGACATCAAATACCTCGGTAAGAATCATCTATGTGGTGCATATATGATGTTTATACAACAATGAGGACTTCATTAGTGGCCAGTCTTGCTCCTGGAGGTCGTCCATTGACAAAGTACCATGGTATTACCATGGTTTTGAACGTGGCACCAGGGTAGGGCCACTGGTTTTTGGACACGTTCTATGATAATTTCATGCCGCTGTTTTGGCCTGTCATGTTGTATGAATATGTTAATCATTCAGTGCCATTGTATATATCAAGTGCCCTTGTATTATCAAATTGTGTTGTGATATTATTAGGGTTTTTGGACAAGCACCATGGCAGTGTCATGGTTCTTTGGATAGTGGCATGGTAATTTTATGGTGTTCTTTTAAGTACCTTGCAGCACCATGCAAATATAGCGGTCTTTGAATCTTACAATTATTTACCATGGTATATATCAAAGTACCTTTTGTATTATCATGATGTTTTTGACATGGTGTTATGGTTTTGGGAAATAAACCATGATAATGCCATGGTTTTTGGATATATAGTTTTCTTTGAAGTATGGTATTATGTATGTTTTGGACAGGTTACCATGGTGGTGCCATGTTTTTATTTAAAAACATTTTGTGCCATAGTAATTTCATAGTATTCATTGCTGATTCTGAACACCATGTAAATACTGTAGTATATGAATATTTTTGTAGTAAATAAATGTTGAAAGTTTCTAGCTGAGATCTCCAGGAATATGATTGACCTGATGTTTATATTTAAATGTACTTTTGAGTTGGATACTATATGCGACCATTGTGCTTTATAGATCAAATATTATTTGCTTGTGATGGGCACTGTACAAATCAATATTTTAAAGTGTTTTTGGCTGTCTAAGTATTAAGGCTGCTGCTTTTCTGTACAGTCAATGATTTAATGTTTTTGTAAGAAGAAACCTGGTTCAATGGCTTACAAGGCTATAATGTCAAGTACAGAGATCTACAAAAAAAATCAAGTGACCCTTAAATAAGCAAGCATGCATTTAAATACTGCAATTCTCTGTAGAAATTGTTGATTTGCTTGCTCAAAAAAATCAAGGCATCATCTTAGTAGACAGGGTGTTACAAAAACATTCAGATATGCATTGATGGTCATATACTCCCTGCATATGCAGTGTTTTTCAGGTTCTGGACACAGCCTTTGTCTTCAGCTGTGAGATATTGAGGAATTTGATCACCAGTAACCCGAAACCTTCTTGTGATCATTAAGGCAGAGGATGCATGTGGTTGTTCTTCTCTTAAAGGAACAGGCCTTCCCTTTAGTGCTGGGGTTGTGCTATTGCACATTGTGAGAATTATAGTACACGTCTAGTCTTAACAACTAGCATAGGTTTTGGTTGTCTCCTTGAAGAGTTTTGAAGTTGTGAATGAAGCTAATATACTCACATCCTCATCAAGACCTGTGACGTTCGGCTCCATTATTCAGACTAATTAGTGCATAAAACTGCTGTCCCATATTCAGCCCCATGGACACACACTGAGGACAGCAGCACTCACTGTTACTGCAGCTCTGTAGATTATGGGACAGATCTGTGTATTGTGGCATGTTCTTAGTGTAGTGAAGGGAAGAGGAAGGAGCCTTGGTCCTTGACAAACAGCATGTTTTTGAGGAGTGTCGCTGTAGGCATCAGGGTTTTCTTTCTTCTGTCCTACTCCACATGCATCTCTCTCTCACTATATCCCTGATTGCCCACCTCTATTTTTGCAGGAGAAAGGGCTATGCTGTATCAGTCTCTTTGTGTTTGACATGTCTTGCGGAACAGCTGAGTTGTAGAGGAAAAACCCTCTATTGATGGACCGAGACATTCTTTGCATGTTTACTTCACACAAAATAGTTCATTTTGATATTACGTTACAGAGTTTAAAACAAGAAAAAAAGTTCAGAAAGTGATCAGTAATGAGTTTTCAATGGCGTGTGAAAGTTTTAGTCTTCCAAGAGAAGACAAACATAAATAAAAGTGTTTATTTTGTGGTGCATTGAATGAAATTTATTACTATAACTAGGCCAGTGGTTCTCGACCAGGGGGCCTCAAGGTGATTTAAAAATAAGGCAAAACAAGCTTAAAAATAAGCTAAAAATCTTGACATTTAAAAAAAAATATTTTAAAAGTTTCATTTATTTTTTTTGCTTAATTTAAATATATATATATATATTTTATTTTTTTTAACCTACAAATGTTTCAATTCATAAAATCTTCTACCTCTGTGAGCATTTTTATAATGAATATACATTTTAAGCTCTAAAATATTTTAGTGGGTAGAAATTGGGAATAAAAAAAAAAAATACAGAACTCAACTAGTGATTTTAAAATCACTTTGTCAGCAGTGTTAATTTCGTTGACTCATAATTTTCGTCAATGACATTTTTTTTCACAGACGGCAACGAGACGATAACTAACTAAAACTCTTTTTGAATGACAAAAACAATGACCTAAATCTATTGACTTTTTCGTCAACAAATAAAAACAAGACGAAAATGTTAGGGGAGGGACGATTTGGGAAGAGATTCATTCAGAATAAATCTGCTGCGTGGTTTGGAGGTTAGATGCATACATATGAACCGGCGGGACAAAAGCTGACATACACTTGCTGCACGTCTCGTAAAACGTTCAGAAATGTTAATATGTGGGAGTAAGAGAAGAGCAGACATATGGATAACGTCTCCGGTTACTTATGTAACCATGGTTCCCTGAGTAGGGAATGAGACACTGCATCCTCTAGGGGTCGCTATGGGGGAACGCCTCGTCGTGACCCGTGTCTGAAGCATACATTGAAAAAACACCAACTCATTGGCCGGCGACAGCCATGACGTCACTACCGGTGCGACTATAGTATAAATGGGCGCCGGGAGCACACATCATTCACTTCTTCGTCTGAAGCTTGCGTCCGCAGCATGGCAAGAAACCTAGAGGACGCAGTGTCTCGTTCCCTACTCAGGGAACCATGGTTACATAAGTAACCTGAGACGTTCCCTTTCATGGGAACTTTGAACTGCGTCCTCTAGGGGTCGCTATGGGGAACGGTATACCCACGCCACCATGCTGAGGGGAGTGCATGCGAGCACTACGTACCAACTCTACCATATTGCTATGGGAGTTGCCCCTGGGACATTAGACGGCTGTCAGTGACGTTATTCCCTACGGCCAAAGGCCTAGGCTATAGGGCTGTGCGATTAATCGAAATCGAATCGAAATTGCGATTTGAGGCATTGCGATTTCCTAATCGTAAAGCCTGCGATATGGACGCGATATTACTCTGTTCCAGAGCATATGCATGACTGCCAGCTTGAGTTGCAGTCTTACTAACCAATAGAGTGAGTGCACCTCCGTTCTCCCCTATCAGCACTGCTCTAGTCAACTGCGTAAACACCCACCATTTAAAAAAAAAAAATAAATAAAAAACACAGCGGGACAGGAGAGAGACAGAGTGGGATTATGGCGTCTACTGGGTCAGATCGATAGTTAGGCAAATTAAAACTAAAGAAAATCGTATGCAACTTAAGCTTCGAAATGACAGACAACGAACAAAAAAGGTCATTTCCAAGTTAATACTTCAAATGAATAAATCAGCCTATGTAACATATGTAATACTTTAATAATTGACTTAAGAAATACGGTTCTTTTATTTATAAAAAATAAACAAATATTTTCTGGGAAATTCAGTAATTAAGTTAATTCTGTAAAAGTAGTTATACCATTATAATCTTTAGCAATAATTTACTTAGCTGTGGGAGCAACACACCTAGTTCTCAGACGAGAAGGGGGCTCGACCTGCAGCATGACCCGCATCAGGGAGGCAGAGGAAGGGCCTAATTCACCTGATGCTGCTGGTTCCTGGTGCTCTGGAGAAACGGAGAACTCAAACTTCTCATGTGAGAGGAGAACTCCGAATTCAGAGGAATAACGTTGCTCATTCCAGGTAACCCTTTGATAAA